TGCTTCTTTTTCTGTTTGAGAGTATCTCCTCTCTACATCGCTAAGGGACCGACTGGCATATGCAATCATGTACTTAGCCCCTTGCACGTCTTTTTGACAGAGGATAGCACCCAGTCCAACAGGGCTAACATCTACTATCAGTTCCGTTTCTCTGCCTGGGTAGAAATATGACATTGTAGTGTCGCTGGTTAGACTGTCTTTCAGTGTCTGTAATGCAACTTTCTGTTCTGGGCCCCGTACCCAGGGTGTGTTTTGTCTGGTCAGCTTGCGCAGCGGTTCTGAGATTGAGGAGAAATCTTTGATGAACCGGGAGGAGTAATTAGCAATCCCCAGCAGACTGATTACTCCTGGATTCTGGGGGTCTGCAGCCTGCTGAACTGCAATCACCTTCTTGGGATCTGCTGAAACACCTCCTGCTGAGAAGATGAAACCAAAAAACTCAAGCCTTGACTTATTGAACTCACATTTTTCCCGGTTGGGTGTGAGACTGCTTTCCCTGAGTCTCTGGAACAGTGCTCGGAGGTTGTTGTCATGGTCAGTCTGGGAGGCTCCGTAGACAATGATGTCGTCGCTGAGGTTCTTCACACCAGAGAGACCTTGCAGTGTCTGGCATATAGCATTTTGAAATACTTCCGCAGCAGAGGATATACCAAAACTCAGTCTCTTGTAGCGCCTCAACCCGATGTGTGTGGTGAAGGTAGTGATGTACCTGCTGTCTGGATGAAGCTCTAGCTGGTGGTATCCAGCTCTCAAATCCAGTTTTGAAAACACTGTTGCTCCGTTTAGCTTGTGTATCACGTCGTCCATGGTGGGAGTTATGTGCCGTTCTCTCTCTATAGCTGTGTTAGCTTGGCGTATATCAACACAAAGTCTGACTTTGTAAGGTTTTTTAGGCTTGGGAGGTGCAACGATAGGTGAGACCCACGGTATCGGGCCATTGACCTCCTCAAAGATGTCATCAGTCCCAGTGCTTTGGATGTTTTGTAGCTGAGCATGTTAAATCATCCCCTTCAACTACAAAGAATGTGCACGTTGTCTTTTCCTGTCCTTTCTCCACACTGCACTTGAAACTACCTTTGAGTGGTAATGGAACTTTGGAGCGAAATGGGAAAATCGAAATGAGAACGTGGCATCAGTGTCTCGAAACTTGTTTCGCTAACAGTTTTCAGAGGCTCCTGAATCAATTAAGACCTTTTCAGCATCTACTACAAACACATAAGCGTCATCACTGCTGGAAGAGTTGCGTTCCTGTTCTTCACCTGATGTCTTTCTTATGTGATGGACTTTTTTATGGTGTTGGTTTGCCTTGTACTGTGCATTAGAAATAAACTGATGACCCGGTTCATCCATCCATCCATCCATCTTCAACCGCTTATCCGGGGTCGGGTCGCGGGGGCAACAGCTCCAGCAGGGCACCCCAAACTTCCCTTTCCCGGGCCACATCTACCAGCTCTGACTGGGGGATCCCAAGGCGTTCCCAGGCCAGTGCAGAGATATAATCTCTCCACCTAGTCCTGGGTCTTCCCCGGGGCCTCTTCCCAGCTGGCCGTGCCTGAAACACCTCCCTAGGGAGGCGCCCAGGGGGCATCCTCACCAGATGCCCAACCACCTCAACTGGCTCCTTTCGACGCAAAGGAGCAGCGGCTCTACTCCGAGCTCCTCGCGAATGGCTGAGCTTCTCACCCTATCCCTAAGGGAGACGCCAGCCACTCTCCTGAGGAAACCCATTTCGGCCGCTTGTACCCGTGACCTAGTTCTTTCGGTCATGACCCATCCTTCATGACCATAGGTGAGGGTAGGAACGAAGATTGACCGGTAGATCGAGAGCTTTGCCTTGCCTTGACCCGGTTCATAAAATTAATAAAATACATTCAGTGTACATCAGAATACAGCCATGATTCTGAAACTGTGTAATCAATATAGTAATGACAATATTGTAAAACCACTGTAATTCTGCAACTGTAATAGAATAATACCAATGTACAGTTATGATTGTATTTGATGTAATGTAATCAACTGAAATGCATGCATGTAATACTTGCACAACTACTGATATTGACTAAGGGCCATTCGATATCCGAGTTACATTGAACTCACCAGAAGACCACTCCCTCTCCCAGAGGAGTGGACACTGACTTTCACACCTTTAAGCATTGTTATAATTACCTGTAGGAACCATTGTTCTCGAATTGACTGGTGGAGACAACAGACGGGCACTATGGGGGGTCAAAAGGACTGACCTGGGGCCTGTTGGTTGCTGAGACCAGCGGCTCCTCGGCTGAGATGTTCTTTTTACCACAACACCATCACTTTTATTAAATACATTTGATTTTAACCTTTTGATCAGGAATCAGGAAACATTTATTTGCCAAAATATGCTAAACATACAAGGAATTTGTCTTGGCGGTTAGTGCAGTAGACAAGACAACAGTGCACAAGTAATAAAATAAAGTGGAATGAAATGCTAATGCAATGGTTTAGTAGAATAAGGCTATGGGTTAGTATGAAACAAGGGAATAAAGATAAAAATTTAAAATATTAAAATAGTTAAAAAGAAAAATATTAAGCATAAAGGAAAAAGTAACACAAGTAGCAAAGTGACGAGTGACGACAAAGTGATGAATGCAGTTAAAGTGGCATGTGCAGTGTGAATGGGAGTTCAGTTATAGTCAGGCAGTGGGGGACCGGGCTCTGTTGATGAGCCCGACTGCCGACGGGAAGAAACTGTTCGTGTGGCGGGAGGTCTTAGTCCTGATGGACCTCAGCCTCCTGCCAGATGGAAGGGGCACAAACAGTTTTTGTCCGGGGTGGGAGGGGTCGGCCACGATCTTTTTAGCACGCTTCAGAGACCTGGAAGCGAACAAGTCCTGCAGGGACGGCAGATTGCAGCCGGTCACCCTCTCTGCAGAGCGGATGGCCTTGGCTGTGGCTGCAGCGTACCAGACGGTGATGGAGGAGCAGAGGATGGACTCGATGATGGCCGTGTAGAAGTGGACCATCATCGTCTTTGGCAGGTTGAGTTTCTTCAGCTGCTTCAGGAAGAACAACCTCTGCTGAGCCTTCTTTGTGATGGAGCTGATGTTCAGCTCCCACTTGAGGTCCTGGGTGATGATGGAGCCCAGGAAACGGAAGGAATCCACAATAGTGACGGGGGAGTCACACAGGGTGATGGGGGAGGGTGGGGCTCTGTTCCGCCGGAAATCCACAACCATCTCCACTGTCTTTAGAGCGTTAAGCTCCAGGTTGTTCTGACTGCACCACGACACCAGATGGTCAGACTCCCACCTGTAGGCGGACTCATCACCACCAGAGATTAGTCCAATGAGGAAGGGTGTCATCCCCAAACTTCAGGAACTTGACGGACTAGTGACTGTCTTTTAAATCAAAGTTTTCAATTTGAATAGTAGACTGAAATTATTCCAATAATATAATGTACCTTGTGCTGTATTTTCTCTATGTCTAATCAACCCAATCATAGCTGCCACAGTTTACCTGATCAAAATGCTGTTCATTCCTACATGTTTGAACATTTTAAAATACAACAAAAAAGTATATAATGCTTATGACAAAACAAAGACGCAAACAATTGTTTAGTGAGGCTGTCCACCTTTGTTCAGTTTGAGAAGGAGCTCGTGAAAGACGTCAAACATGTGTAGCTGAGCTCCTTGGTGAGGCCAGATTCACTGCATGAGGCCTTCCAACAAGCATGAGCAAGTCCTTGATACCAGAGCAGTCAGAGCTGTCACGCCTCTACCACAAGAAAATCACTCAGAATGAGAGAGAAAAGGTCCGTGGTTAACTTCAGCTTAAGATAATTTAACATTTGGTTCAACGATAAAAATGTGTCAGTAACTGTACCTGATTTTGAGGCTTTTAAGTGTTTTAAACGAGGCGCTCGCCAACAAGTGGCTGGTTTAGTAGTTTGTTATAGATCCGAGTCATGTGTTTATGTGTGTTCATATTTACGCTCTGTAGTTGCAGAGTTTCCTTCTTCAGCTAAAACCAGTGAGATCAACGGCTTTTGTAACAGGAAACCGGACACCAAAACAGGACTCGCAACTGTCACGCATTGAGCACGACAGTCATTTCGCTCTCTAGTTACGCGTTCCCGCCACACAACAAAAAGGACGCCGCGTTGGTTACCCCCCCCCATGTCGGTAGTAGCGTTCTATGGTTCTTCGTTTTACCTCACACTTCATGTGTTCATGTTTAGTGGTTGCAGGCAGTTTAATTTTAAAGTGTGCGTCTTTCAACCGGCACTAATTTATATTTAGGATTCTGTGTTTTTTTTCTTTTTACTTGGTTGGTTTTCTTATCCATGTGGAATTATCGTGTGTTGGGGGAAAGTTTCTATCTGGTCCATTTCTGGTTCAGGTGAGTTTCCTTCACTGCACAGTGGAGACTGAAGGTCACAACGAGGCTGCAGAACTCTCTCTGATCAGAGTGCCTTCTGGCCATAAACACATACAGGTTACAGGAAATGAAACCAAGTTAAGGACCAGCATGCACTGGGGCGGCCTATGTTTTTTTTTTTATCTGCACAGATGAGCGAGCGAGAGGAGCTTTTTTTGTAAAAGTGTGAACCACAAACCTGCAGTGCCTCAGAGGGTCTTTGATTCGTGTTTTTATCTGTTTCTTTTGTTTGCATTCTGTGATCAGAAGACGTAAGACCTTTTTTCTCATTAATTATTACCTCAATATTTCTTTAAGAAAGGACAAAACAACATGTAGGCAGACTTAAATACATGAAGGAACAACTTATTGGACATATTGATGCATCTTGACATCTGACACACAGCTCAGCAAACATTCTTGATTCTAGTTTCAAGTTAGTTGACTTTTGAAGCGTCTGCTGTCACTGATTCGTAGCTCTTCACTCATTTTTCTAATCCTTCAAAATATGATTCATTGAAAAGCAGTTTTTACTGTACACGTTGACGTGAAATGCCAAAAAGAAAATGTTTCATCATATTGTTTATTGAACAAATATCGACCATCAGTCAGCTTTTATACATCAAGGCTTTATTCTTCTTAGGTTGTACAAATTGGTGATGAAAGAAGACAAACATTGTTATATATTTTAATATCTGTAGCTCAGAGAAAGAGCGTGACGATGGCCGATGATGCCATCAGGAGGAGGATGCTGGAGGCGGCGGGTGTGGCTCCGGTGAACAAGTCAGTGGAGCTGGAGGCGGCGGGTGTGGCTCCGTTGCACAAGTCAGTGGAGCAGCACGGTGTCGGTATCGCTGCAACACAATCTGCACTCTTCATGCAGCTCTTGGTGACAACACCTGATGGAAAGCAACTCAGTTTCAACAACAATGAAAGCCACCAGGCGTTCAGCACAGCAACATGTCGGATCGATAATGAGTTTGAGATGTTGAACATCAGCTGTGGAAGAACCACTCACCGTTCACGTTGATGCTGCTACAACGATCCAATCCGGGGGAACAAGTGACGTTGTTGCAGCCTTTGCCATCACATTGGTGGCAGGTCAGTCCACATGCTGTACAGGAAAGACACAATAAACACAACAGTTTTAAACATACTCCAAGTATAATGCTCGTTGTTCTGTGAATTGTTTTTATGAAATATTGCTGAAAACGATTCAAACAAGAGAACGAGCAGAGGAAGTTGGAAGTAAATCCACAATAACAAAAAAAAAGAAAAAAATATTACACGCTAAGGCACGTGACTTTAAACTTTTCTTACCCGCAGACACAGTCACAAACAGGATCAGCGCTCCATAAAAATGCATCCTGAACAGACGGGAAGAACCGATGTTTAATCAACTGCGCACTTGGAGAAAAGATGTCCACTCTGCCAAAGCTCCCCCTTTATAGTCCAACCCACCAGTCGCCTCTAAACCTAGTTGCTTCTTCAGAAAGCCTCCTCCCATCAGCCTGAGCGAGTTGATACATTCATCATGACTGAAAGTGAAAGGAAAATCTCCAGGTTTGAGAAATCAAGCTGCAAATGCTGCAGTGGTTCAATGCAAAGAAAGAAGGATTGATTGTTGCAACAACATTGACCTTTCACACTTATTTTGCAGGTGATGTTCAAAGGACGTTATTGTCTCACTTTACCTGATTTCATTTCATAAAACCTTAAAGACCTTTAACCTTTAAATAAAAAATATATATATTATGAGCAAAATGCAGGTATTAGTCTAATTTATTTTTAGACAATATATACGCCTTTTCAGAGGGCTAGATAGTTAGCTGAGATGCAGTGCCAACTCTCAGCTCTGCAAGATACTAGTATGAATAAAATATGTTACATACATACTGTGTATATATATATATATATATATATATATATATATATATATATATATATATATATTAATCATGACAATTGCATGTGCATGCAATTAAAACTAAAATGATAAAAAGTGTAGTTCGGATGATTGGTTTCAGCATCTTGTGGACACCTGGGGGAAGTGTGACCTGTGTGTGAAATGCTGAATTGGAAGGTGAGAAGTGTATGGGGCCAGTGCACGAGTTAGAAACTGCCTGTGATGTTGATCCACCACTTCTGCACTGGAATATCACATCTGCTTTCGGATTACCATATCGTTTTGTCAGAAAGAGAGACGAGACATACCGAATAAGAGAAGTTAAAGCCAAGTGGAAACATTGACACAAAGCGACCTTTCTTGAGGTTCAACCTCTTATCAGATGAGCAAAAGAGCAGGTAGAAAACAGAGTAATTCAATGGCCTAATACTATTTAAATTTATAGTGCTGAAAAAGTAGAAATATCTTACTAGCCATCCGGCTCGTAATGTCATTTTGATATCAACTGATTAACGCTTTATCATAACTGTATTACTATGGCCATTTATTAAATCATTAGTTATTTTTTAATGAGGATATTTACAGCATTGTAATAGTTTTCTTGTCTGTGGGGGGAAGTTTATCAGTCTAGAAAGACCAGACGTAAAAATGTTTTGAAAACAACACAGATTGTCTGTAGTTCCATTTTATTATTCACGATAGTTGTTTGTGGTTGTCACCACATGCGACGCTATGTTTGGGAAACCACCGCCCACTGCGTTGCTTCCCTTCACGTGTGCATGGATTTCTGCACACGTTTCCAAGATGTTTCTAATGAGAGCAAACAAAAATATGCCAAAGTCCGCCAAGAAGCGCTGCGCCTTTCAGACCTCCATCAGCAGGTACTTCGGAGGTCACAGCAGCAGCGGCGGGGCCTCCGTCCACCGGAGTCCTGCTCCGCGCCATCTTTCGAGAGGCAAGGTGAGGCGCGCTCCATCGGCCCGTCCTCGACTTCCACGCACACTGAGGCGCGCTCCCGCGAAGTCCCTTCAGGGTTTAGTTCTGTCCAGCTGTCAAATCACCGACGTTTTGAGCCATTTTGAGCCCAGAGGAATTACCCACAGTGCATTGCAGGTACACACAGGGTAACAACAGCATTTAGAGGTAAAGGAAAAAGGTAAACAAAGAGGGCAGCACGTGAGTGTTCACAGCCTGTGATGGTACATTACCACAGAACCCTTGAAGAAAAAAAAACCCACATAGGATAAGCTATTGATCTCGTTAGAATTTCATTCGGTCATTGAAATAACCTCATTTTGTAAAATAAAATATTTGGTATAAATAAACCCACAGTTGTATATTGGTAGTGTAAGGATCCCTGTCTAACCCTGGTGTTTTTCCCCTCTGTTTTCCCCATATTCTCTCCTCATGTTGATGTCATTCCCCTGTTTGTTATTGTTTTGCCATGTGCTTGTGCTTTTGTTTCTGTGTCCCCAGTAGTGTCCTCAGAGCCCCGCCCAGTGCCACGCCTTCCTCCATTGACACAGCTGTGTCTCGTCTTCCCATTAGACCAGCTGACATAAATACTCCGGCTTTCCTCGCCCCAGCTGTCAGTCCGTCCGTTAAGCCACCCCGGTACCTTGGCGCCGTGAGTTTTTCTGCAGCCCTTGTGATCCTGTGATAACCCCTTGTTTTTCACCCTTGCCGTCCAGCGTCGAACCTCGGAGATTCACCTGGCCGAAGAGGTAGCCAGTTAGTTCCGCAGAGATCAGCTGAGCACCTACAGACTCCTGCGTCGAGCCTCGGGTGTCACGCAGTCGAGCTCCTCTGCCTGTCACGCTCCATTGACTTGTGTTTTCATGTTGCCGGAGAAAATAAATAACCCCTGTTTGAGAAAGAGAAACCTTGGTGGTCCTGCGTGTTGCATCTGGGTCCGTTTGCACATCATAACAGGTAGTGTGATATGTTGCAGCAAAGCTCTGTCCCATTCATATTTACACCATTTAAAGCCCTTCCAGCCTGTCACTTTACAGTGTAACAGGTGGCTTTAGTACGTCCTGGTTCACGATTCAAGACTTTAAATGGAATTTGGTCACAATGCTCAGGGACACATGAAATTAACTTAATGCCGATGAACGACCCTCATAATAATTAATAAACAAATTAAATAAGCTAGTCATTTATCTTATTTACACCACAGCATGTCATTTCGGTCTCTATGTGGTTGCGCGTTTACAATTCTCGTCGGCTCTGTATGCGCACACATACATGTAGTGTTTGCGTTGTATGGGTTTATACACCAGACCTATACAACAGTTTGATTCATATCCACGGCCGTTTATTCTCCGGCTCTGGCTTACACGTTGCTGTTTGCGTACTTCCTGCTAACGTGTCTTGCGCGTCTATATCTGCAGGTGACGTGGTTACGTCATGAACATCACAACAAATACAAACCTGTCATCTTAATATTCTGAAAACTGGGCTTGCTATTGCATCAAATCAAACAAACTTCAGCAATCGTATCTGCTGTACTGAACGTTGTACTCATATTTATAGCGTATTTCTAATTCTAATTTTAGACTGCTAAAAGGGGAAATCACCAAACTTCTTAACCTTGGCTAATACAGTCCCTTTCAAATCAGAACAAATTTCTTCTGCTTACAGTCCCTAAGCTAAGTATAGTCCTGTAGGAAGGCTGGCACAGTGTCACCTGGAGTGAGAGTGTGTGGTGTAGCACGACAATGAGAGTCTGCATGAGATTTCATTTTGGCTTTGGCCTTGCTGTCCTTTGCCCTCACTTCAGAGTCTGAACTGTTACTGACAGTGTGAGTGAATGAAGGAATCTTCGTGTACACCTTGCGTTGGAATAACAGTTCTGCAGGCGAGCTTTCTGTTGTACTGTGGGGTGTAGATCGATACTCGCGTAGAAAGATGTTCAGCTGTTTCCAAGGAAGTCCCTGTGTTTCAGCCACACGAACAGCTTTGCCAAGTGTGCGCATGAATCGTTCAGCTATTGCATAAGCTTGAGGCCACAGCGGTGTTATCCGGCGGTGATGGAATCCTAGATGATCTGCGAACTGGTCACTGGTGAATGGGGGACCATTGTCAGTTTTTACAACTCTGGAGATTCCAAACATGGAGAAGACTTTGTCCATGACCGGAATGACTGTGTTCGCCGATGTTGACCGCACGCTCTCTACAGCTGGGTAGCGTGTATACTCATCCTCGATGACAAGCAAGTACTCTCCAGTCGGAAGCGGCCCATAGAAGTCTGCACTTACACTATGTCAAGGAACTTCTGGCAGAATTGACATTTTTAGGCGCTCCTTGTGTGTGACTGGTGTGTTGGCCTGACATGCGAGACAACTGCGTACTGCGACTTCTGCTTTGCGATCGATGTCTGGAAACCACACCTTGGTTCAGAGTAGTGATTTTGTTTTGACAATGCCCTGGTGTTCCTCATGGGCTAGTTGTAACACTGTCTTATAGGGCTTTGGGAATCACTATTCTAGTGCCCCGCAGTATAATGCCAGATGCATGTGATGTTGTTAGTTCACTGCTAACTTGTCTAAACTGTCAGCATGTTGTGACTTGTGAGTTTTATGCCATGTGTTGTGTCTGATGTGAGCACCAACTCTGTTAGTGTCACTGCTTTAGGTGTAGCATGACTCACAATGAAGTTCACATACTCCTCTGCCACTTTTGCTGCACGAGTGCTGTCACCTGTCTCAGAACATGGGATGCCGAGACATGTAGTCAGCTGGGTTGTCAGCCCCCTTCCTGTATTCAACCTTGAAGTCGTAAGCCTCAGTCCCCATCTCTCGATCCTGGCAGGTGGTTTGGACTTGGGATTGTTCCATATGATTTCCAGCGCCTTGTGATCCGTCACCAGAGTTAGAGGATGACCATAAATGTACAGGTGGAAATGTTCACAGCCCCACACTATGGCCAGTGCTTCTTTTTCTGTTTGAGAGTATCTCCTCTCTACATCGCTAAGGGACCGACTGGCATATG